TCGCCGCCGCCTCCGGCCGTCGTCCGGCCGGTGGGTGGTTGTATTTATTTTCTTTACATTTTAACTTTCGTGTTCATTCTTGTATTTATTTTTTAATTGTAGCTGCAAGGAGGAGAGCATCCAAACTTAAAGTATGAGCATATGGAAATAGCAGTCTTTGGGGAACGATTGATGCGATAGGTTAATGGCCTCTTTAGGGAAAATCCAAGTTTGACAGGATTTCTCCTAATCAGATCACCATTCTAATCTCCCACATTTTTCATTTTAATTATAAGACATCCAATTTGATAGTTTTACTGCTTTAATTCACATACTTTGGTCCACAGAAACTAATAAAAGTAAAAAGTTTTGTTGAAAGAGGTATATTTCATACCAAAACCCTAGTCAAATATAGTTCCTTAGCCACAATCAGCACACTTTTCCAGTTTTGATTGGTGTGTTTAGCAAGTAATTGGAAGGTAAAAGGGGAACAAATCTCACAGTTATTAGCAAATAATTGGAACGTAAAAGGGGAACAAATATCACAGTTATTATTTCAGCAATAAACGAGGAAAAAAACCGACCTTGATCGAAATTGTTGGAGGCGTCGGAATCAAAATTGTTGGAGGCGTCGGAGGCTTCAGCGATGTCGGAGGAAGCGTCGGAGGAAGTGTCGGAGGGTCGGAGGCGGCGGCGGAGGGTCGGAGCTGCGCCGATTTGGAGCGGAGGTTGCGTCGAAGGCTTCAGCGAGGTCGGAGGTTGAGTCGGAGGCTTCAGCGATGTCGGAGGTTTCGTCGGAGGCTTCAGCGAGGTCGGAGGTTGCGTCGGAGAGTCGGAGGCGGCGTCAGAGGGTCGGAGCGGCGCCGGTTTGGAGCGGAGGCGACAAAGTTAGGGTTGAGGGAGGGAAAAGGGATCGGGGTTGATTTGGGGGAAAGTGAGACGAAAATCTGAAAACACCTTTTAGGTGTTTTGGAAAAACCGTGTATTTTCTCTATTTTGTGATGGGGCAGCTCAAAAAAACACATCAGTTCCCAAACATGGTTATATGTTTTTTTGAAAAAAAAACGAAAATGGGAGAAACACAATGGTTGCCAAACGGACTCTAAATTATTAGATTTTATATTAATGAAGTTATGCTATTTTGGGTAGAAACAAAACCATTAACTTTGTACTCATTTTTCTATAATAGCGGAGGTAGTTGGGGAGCATTGCTTTTGTGACCTTTGGTTTCTAAGTTTTAAAATTTATTTTAATGGATTTTGCCTTTAAACCCAAAATTTTATCCTGATTTATTTTTAAACCCAAGTACTTTTATTTGCACGTTTAAATCCAATCAACTTTGTGCATTTGTCTTTAATATCTTGTTTTTAGTTTGGCAAAAGTTGGGCTCAAAATGAACTACTACTTTATAGTTCGAAATCTAGCCCCTAAACAAGTTCTTTTGTGGACCAACCCTTATATGATTTAACTTTGGCCTAGTTAAGATAGAACTAGTTTGAAGTTGACAAACACAATTACATCTGCGTAAGTAAACTAAATTTCAGCTGATGTTGGTTTCTTCTGATTTGATGAGATTAGGTGTATTTCTGTTGACTGAGATTAAGTTCAGTTTAGAGATTCTGGAATAACTATTTCTGTCCAATTATGTAACAAGGGACCATTGATTTTTATTTGACACTATCTTAGCAATCTGTAGTATGTTCTTCAGTGAATTAGATTTGATGACATTTTCTGGTTATCGGATGAAATAATAATCTCCGAGCAAAATCTAATGCCAGAATCATCTGTTCTCATCTCTACCCTGTGTGGAAACATGATGAGCTACACTCCTGCTCCTTTATACTTCTTACAGTGTTCTTTTATGTTAGGTTATCCCCCAACATACATCTGTCTTTCTAATTGCATCTTTTGAATGCTTAGATCCCTCTGTTGATTTTCCATTGTTTATTAACATTCTTTAGTAGTTCCATGTGTATTCCTATTGGATGTTCTTCTTAAGTGTTACTAAGAAATTTCTGCACACTACACTATCTTGTCCTGAGTAGTAAATTGTTCTGATTTATTGAAAAAAATCTTGCTTTTGATGTCGCATGTTCTTTTAAGTACCAAAATTTAGATAAATGTTCGAACAGGGATTGTTTACTTACTCAGATGCATATTCTTTATTAGATTTCAGCAATTATCATAATCTTCGTGTGTAACATTTTACTTGAGCTTTACGGCATCCTCCTATAATATATGTTTGGATATCTTTGGTTTATTCCTCAGATGCAAAGCGTTTGATAGGAAGGCATTTCAGTGATGCGTCTGTCCAGAGTGACACCGAGTTGTGGCCCTTCAAGGTCATTCCTGGCCCTGGAGACAAGCCCATGATCGTTGTCCGGTACAAGGAAGAGGAAAAGCAGTTTGCTGCTGAAGAAATTTCTTCAATGGTTTTGATTAAGATGAAAGAAATCGCTGAGGCATACCTTGGCTGTACCGTCAAGAATGCTGTGGTCACAGTCCCTGCTTATTTCAATGATTCACAACGTCAGGCCACCAAGGATGCTGGCCTCATTGCAGGGCTTAATGTTATGAAAATCATCAGCGAGCCGACTGCTGCTGCTATTGCCTATGGTCTTGACCATAAGACGACTAGCGTTGGTGAGAGCAACGTCCTCATCTTTGACCTCGGTGGTGGTACGTTTGATGTTTCCCTTCTTACCATTGAGAAGGGTATCATCAAGGTCAAGACTACTGCTGGTGACACCCATCTTGGAGGAGAGGACTTCGACAACCGAATGGTGAAGCATTTCATTCAGGAGTTCAAGAGAAAGAGCACAAAGGACATCACCTGCAACCCCAGGGCTCTTAGGAGATTAAGAACAGCTTGTGAGAAGGCGAAGAGGTTTCTCTCCTCCACCCCTGAGACCACAATTGAGATCGATTGCCTCTATGAGGGTATTGATTTCTACTCAACCATCACCAGGGCCAGATTTGAGGAGCTGAACATGGATCTTTTTAGCAAGTGTATAGAGCTAGTGGAGAAGTGCTTGAGGGATGCCGAGATGGATAAGAGCGCTGTCCATGATGTGGTGCTTATCGGGGGGTCCACCAGGATTAACAAGGTCCAGCAGTTGCTTCGGGATTTCTTCAACGGGAAGGAGCTCTGCAAGGGCATCAACCCTGATGAGGCAGTCGCCTATGGTGCTGCAGTGCAAGCTGCAATGTTGAGCGGTGAAGGCGACAAGATCGTGCAAAATTTGCTGTTGTTGGACGTTACTCCTCTCTCCCTTGGACTACAGACTCGTGGGGAGATTATGACCGTTTTCATCCCAAGAAACACCACCATTCCTACCAAGAAGGAGAAGGAACTCTATACTTCCTACGACAACCAAACCTCTGTCTCCTTCCCGGTGTATGAAGGTGAGAGGATGAAATCAACGGACAACAACTTGCTCGGCCAGTTTGAGCTCTGTGGCATCCCTCCTGCTCCTCGGGGTCGTGCTCAGTTCACTGCCTGCTTTGAGATCGATGTCAACGGCATTCTGAGCGTCTCTGCTGAGGACAAGAGCACCGGTCAAAAGAAAAAGATCACCATCACCTGTGAAAAGGACAGGCTGAGCAAGGAGGAGATTGAGAGGATGGTGAGGGAGGCTGACAAGTTCAAGTCTGAGGACGAGGCACGCAAGAAGAAGGTGCAGGCCAAGAACGCCCTCGAGGACTACGCCTACTACATGAGGAACTCCATCAGGGAAGCCAAGATTGCTTCGAAGCTGGCAGAGGCTGATAGGAAGAGGATTGAGGACCTGTTTGATCAGACGATGCGATGGCTCGACACGAAACAGTCGGCGGAGGCTGCTGAATTTCAAGACAAGAAGTGGGAGTTGCAGATTAGCTTTAATCCGATACTTGCCAAGGTGAATCAGGGTTAAGTCATGCTCCCTCCTCTTTTGGATTAATGCAGTGTCGTTACTTTTGGTTATGACTTATATATATATATAGCAAAACTTGTGTCAAATTAAGTGGATAGCAAAAAGTATATATATAGTTTCTGAACGTATATGTTTATAGTTTCTGTCATTATGCTGCTCAGGAAGCTAAAATTTGAAACAACATCCACACTTTCTATTTCCTTGATCGTTACCTTTACCTTGTTGTTATACCTTTGATGCTCCAGTGTGTTTCATGGCCTTATGAGCTTGATCGTATCAAGCACGCACGGATTGAAGATTTTATACAACAATTGCAGCTGGGACCTGTTGTGCGCGGCGCGGAAGCGTGACAACCAAACGGGCGTGCTTTGAGAACCAAATCAAACAAACGTCGAGATAAATGCCAAACAAATCAAAATAACGACACAAATCCAAACACAATAGTTTTACGTGGTTCGGCAAATTGCGTACGTCCACTCGGCAAGAAGGGGATTGAGTTTTCACTAATAGAAAAGAAGAGTACAAACTGAGATTACAAAACGCTCAAACCAATCAACTAATCTCACCAACAAATCTCTTAATTTCTCCAAATAAACCCTCAAACAATTGCTCAGAAAAACTCTCCTTTTCTGTGCTCTAATATTCCTAAACCAATCTCCAAACAAAGCCAAAGAAACCCTAATTCGTATGTTGGTATTTATAGTAAATACCAAACCCAAACTGAATAAGAAACCAATATTGGGCCTGACCCGTTACGCGGTCAACTGTCACGGTTGACCGCGACCAACAACAGAACCCAGAAATCCAATACAAGGTATGACGGTCGACCGCGACGGTCGACCGTGACGAATCCAAAATCACACCTTGAGCCTGTGCACGTCCGCGGTCGACCGACCTTGCGCCGCGGTCGACCGCACAACTTCCAAACAGTTCCCCTGCGCTTCCAAAACCTGTTCTTCACTAAATTTCTCGCCGATTCTACAATTCTCCACCTCGGCGAAGTTTCTTCCAAAAACTGAGCCGACACCAAGCAAGCCAAATGCCTCACTTGCTGCTTCTCAATCCTCAACAAGTCGAGACCCAAACGGGAGTGCGAACACTCACCCAAATGTCGGTATCTACTCACCAAATCGGCTGTATCAAAACTGACTGTCTACGTATCCTCTTGCCCAAGGAATTAAGCCTTCACGTAGTTCACCCAAACGGCCTCTAAAGGCCCTCAAACAAGTAGAAAAGTCTGCAACTATTCACCAATATCATCTGCATCCAAATCCAAATGATCTCCAATCTGTGTCACCTCAGCTGGAATCCCAAACGATGCAGTATAATCTGGAGTATGTGGAGTAGCATCACCCTCCACCTACTGTGATATCCAAACGACCTGATCAACACTCTATACCTGTCGAGAGTCCAATGTGACATACCTGCTCAGAACAAAATCAGAAGCTCCCAACCGATAATCAAATAAGCATCTGAATCCCAAACGCGCAATCGGATCAAATCTCACATCCTCGATGTGACCAAATGCTGGGTAACCAAATATCCGACGCTAACCAAAATCTGAAGCAGCTCCACCAGATCCAATAACTCCTAATGCAGCAGTCGGCGACCTATGACTAAGATGACCCAAATATGTCGAAACTCCAAAACTAGAACCTAATGTTCGATAACCAACGCTGATCCCCCTCCAGAAAGGAACAACCAATCAAAAATATCATCTTATCTCGTCGCCACAATGTTTCCTCTCCAATGAAGTGTCTCAAACTGCCATGAGCTCGGCACAAATGCAGAAATAGGTCCCTCTTGTACCTCCCGCTAAAATCAGAATGATGTACCTTCACCTTCTGCCAATACACTTCTTCAACTGTTGTTGACTACTAGGACTTCAAAACCAATGGGACTTGGTTGCAACCCACAAATACCTAGTATAATCCCCAACATAGGAAACCAAAATACCAATTTACCTTCCAATGATACCTCCTTGGAAGGCCCCTAAATGTCTGAATGAACACCAAATAGAAGACCCCTCAATCATCAAATAGAAGTGCCAAACTCCACCTCGGTCTCCTTGCTCATACCAACGTGCTCAAAGGACTTCAATATGCAGGTCAATGGCACTTCTCAAAAAGGACTTCAATATGCAGGTCAATGGCACTTCTCAATAATCCAATGCACCGTATTAATAAACAAATAACTCAGCCTCAAATCCTTCTATCTCGGCTAACTATCTCAAAGCACCAATAAATAAAGAATAGATCCAAACTGATAAAGGAGATAATTTTACCTCCAAATGAAACCCTAACAAGAGTCTTCAAACGATCTCACCCCGCACGACGGCAACGAGATCCACTAATAGGAAAATTTCCACCTTTATCTCCAATCGAAGCCCTCGAAGAACCTCCAAAGCGATCTACTCCTCCAAATAGCCCAAGCGCCAACAAACCAATGCGGAACAAACGAAGAATAGATCCAAACTGAAAAAGATAGAGTCTTTATCAAAAAGATCACATCTTTCTTACAAAACGAAGCTCTATCCGAACTTCCAAATTGATCTACTCCTCCAACCAAGACAAAACCCTAGATCTGAAATCTGGAGCTCTGATACCAATTGTTGTGCGCGGCGCGGAAGCGTGACAACCAAACGGACGTGCTTTGAGAACCAAATCAAACAAACGTCGAAATAAAGGCCAAACAAATCAAAATAACGGTACAAATCCAAACACAATAGTTTTACGTGGTTCGGCTAATTGCTTACGTCCACGGGGCAAGAAGGGGATTGGGTTTTCACTAATAAAGAAGAAGAGTATAAACTGAGATTACAAAACGCTCAAACCAATCAACTAATCTCACCAACAAATCTCTTTGAGATTACAAAACGCTCAAACCAATCAACTAATCTCACCAACAAATCTCTTAATCTCTCCAAATAAACCATCAAACAATTGCTCTCACCAACAAATCTCTTAATCTCTCCAAATAAACCATCAAACAATTGCTCAGAAAAACTCTCCTTTTTCTACGCTCCAATATCCCCAAACTAATCTCCAAACAAAGCCAAAGAAACCTAATTCGTATGTTAGTATTTATAGTAAATACCAAACCCAACTGAACAGGGAACCAATATTGGGCCTGACCCGTTATGCGGTCGACCGCGACCAACAACAGAACCCAGAAATCCAATACATGGTATGGCGGTCGACCGCGACGAATCCAAAATCACACCCTAAGCCTGTGCACGTTCGCGGTCGACCGGCCTTGCGTCGCGGTTGACCGCGCAGCTTCCAAACAGTTCCCCTGCGCTTCCAAAACCTGTTCTTCACCAAATTTCTCGCCGATTCTACAGGACCTCTAACATATGATTATTTAGAGTTGCAGTCCCTTACAATATTAGAATCAAACTATGATACAGTACCTTAATTTTCAAACACACACTTTACAGTCGATTCTCATTTTGAAAATGAAAGTTTATTGAAAGCTTGGTCCGTGGCATGAGTTGGAAGGTGATATGGGATCAAATAATTTCTTTCATTTTGATCAAGACCACTGCTGAGATTTCTTCGGCGATAAACAGCTACTCCTGGTTCTCGTAAACTGTCAAAGTTCTTAATCCAGTAACAAATAAGGCAATCCCTATTCACATCTCGTGTGTTACAAAAATAAACACAATCATTCGCTAGGTACAAAGATTTGAATTGATCATAGGAAAAACTCCTCGAGAAAAAAGAAATAAATCTAGACGCTCATCTTGAAAACGTTGCAAACCACAACATGATCATCATATTGATTTCCTCGTCTCCGGTGTACGTGAGTTATTACTCAACTAGAAAAACAATCCCTCTTAATTGCAGGCACACGCAAGTTGGATTATACAACTACAACTTACATTGATATATACTCGCTAAAAACCCAAATGGGATTACGATACTGTTGGAAGCTACAAATGAATTTGATGTTAGTTTGTTAGTTTGCTGGCATTAGTCTGTTAGTTTGTTGGTTACTCTATTTTGTTAGTTTACTTTTGTTAGTTTAAAGTTAATAATTCCTAGTTGTAGGATCAAGTTTGTTATTTGGTTATTTCTCAGTTTACTAGGATCATGATTAGGTTTGTTAATCATGATTGAATTAGTCTGTTTTTAGATTTCTTGTAAAAGGCTATTTAAGCTTTCTTTTGCTTCAATAAGAATGTAGAGAACATTCACCAATCTCTGTGAGTTTACTGCATAGAGAGTTTTTGATGATCTAACAGTGGTATAGAGCAAGGGAAAAGGGACCTTGAGTGTGTGTGAAAGAAATACTCGTGAGGAAAGAGAAGAGTGCAACACGAGTGTT